CGGTAACCATATAAAACCTGAACCGTGGTTATAGTGATTAATGATCCGTTATCATAACTTATAATCTATGATTTTTGATAAAGCGTGTTTTGTAAGATTTTTTTGATTTTTTAATGGTTTTTTGAAGCTATCTATTTAACTTCAAAAAAATCCGTTAAGCCGATCATTTAAATGGAATCTTCATAAAATTCCCTATCGATAAACATACGGTTTGACCATTTATCGTTCTCCTATCTGGGATTAATCTCATCCACAAATAGACGACCACAATAGTTCTGAAAAGAGTAGATACTTATTTTGTATATTCAACTAATATACTAATACTACAATACTATTTTATAGAATATACATCATCTATCATTTACTTATTGACTATACCTATTGTCCTATTAGTAGATTTTGAGACATGTCATATTATAGTATTATACATGCACAACAAATTGCATTTAATTTTAATCATTTTCGAGATGTTGATGATTGAAATCCTAAGTTCATCAGTTAATAATTATACATATAAACAATTGTTCATATTTAAACCACTAATAGATTTATTATGGATGTGATTATAAGAATAGGTAACTACTTAAACAAGTTACTTAGTAAAGTAATAAACTACTGGCACAGAATGTTCTATAAATATGTACCTAGGTACCTGTAATTGTTTTTAAAGTTCAACAAATCATTAGTTGTAGATGACGTTCAAATAAGATAATATTATATTTTTATGTTCCCAAACGTTTCGGTTTAGGCCCTTCTAAAACGTACTGCCGGAGCCGGGGGTCCTCGAACACCCCCCCTAGGTGTATTTTTGAAAAGGTTTAGTTTTTGTATGACGTTTCTGAAACTCGAGATCTGTATAGTTTGGAGGTCGGTGATCAAATTCGGCGTCTTGTGTCGAGACCATAGGGGCCGTTTTTCTCCGTCTTTTGGGGCTTCGAAAGTTCAAAATTTGGGTTTTTCGGAGTTTTCGTTACTGACACTTAGATTTTGGGCGTTCCGAGACGTTTTTGTAGTCGGGCTTTATAGAGCACTTTAGGCCTGAACGATTGGCACCGATATCGAGGTGATCCGACTTTTAGTTCGGGAGTTATGATTTTTAAAGTGTTTTTTGTACTTAGAAAATTACGTATTTACGTGTTTTTTAGATTTTTTTTTTTCGTTTGATCACTACAAAATTCTAGAACCTGATCATTCGGCGTACGAGGATTCAAAAAACCTCTATGGTCAAAATACGTACGACCATTATTTCGCCCGCAATCGTAGTAGCAAAAAGTTAGAAAACAAATTATGCTATTTTTCGTATTATCAAGGCGTCTCCTTGTATAATACGTCTGTGTAACGTATCAAGTAATAATTATTTTGAACTTTTTTTCACACTTATTTTAGTAGGCGTGTAGCTCATTATTCATTAATGTAAATCGATAGGTATATAAGAATAAAATATTAAAACCTATAAAATAATAGGTCAATTCACTCTAATATATGTATTTGAGCTAACAACACAAAATTGGATGTATATTTTGAACTACTAGCTCCTTCAAAATAAGTCGTATCGTTATAAAACCTTCAAGGAACGAAGCAGTCAACCCTCGAGATCAAATGCATGGTCTCAAAAAAGCCGCGACTCGATTTTAAGTTCGAGAAATTGGCAAAAGAAAATTTCCCGCCAATTTTTTTTTTGAATAATTTAAATTTTTACCTCAACATTTACCCCCTTAATATTTGAGTTTCAATACTTTTAAAAAGTGGAAACTGGTCTAGAGACGCTTCTGCTTCGATCCTAGAAGGTTTTATACAGATATGATTTTTATTGAAGGATTTAGGTTTTGTATAGGTTTTTAAAATTCGTAATATTTCGAAAACCTAAATCATTCAATATAAGTCTTATCGTTATGAAACCTTCGAGGATCGAAGCAGAAGCGTCCCTAGATCATTTGCGAGTTTATAAAAGTTCATTAACTCAAATATTAAGGGGGTAAATGTTGAGGTAAAAATTTAAATTATTCAAAAAAAAAATTGGCGGGAAATTTTCTTTTGCCAATTTCTCGAACTTAAAATCGAGTCGCGGCTTTTTTGAGACCATGCATTTGATCTCGAGGGTTGACTGCTTCGTTCCTTGAAGGTTTTATAACGATACGACTTATTTTGAAGGAGCTAGTAGTTCAAAATATACATCCAATTTTGTGTTGTTAGCTCAAATACATATATTAGAGTGAATTGACCTATTATTTTATAGGTTTTAATATTTTATTCTTATATACCTATCGATTTACATTAATGAATAATGAGCTACACGCCTACTAAAATAAGTGTGAAAAAAAGTTCAAAATAATTATTACTTGATACGTTACACAGACGTATTATACAAGGAGACGCCTTGATAATACGAAAAATAGCATAATTTGTTTTCTAACTTTTTGCTACTACGATTGCGGGCGAAATAATGGTCGTACGTATTTTGACCATAGAGGTTTTTTGAATCCTCGTACGCCGAATGATCAGGTTCTAGAATTTTGTAGTGATCAAACGAAAAAAAAAAATCTAAAAAACACGTAAATACGTAATTTTCTAAGTACAAAAAACACTTTAAAAATCATAACTCCCGAACTAAAAGTCGGATCACCTCGATATCGGTGCCAATCGTTCAGGCCTAAAGTGCTCTATAAAGCCCGACTACAAAAACGTCTCGGAACGCCCAAAATCTAAGTGTCAGTAACGAAAACTCCGAAAAACCCAAATTTTGAACTTTCGAAGCCCCAAAAGACGGAGAAAAACGGCCCCTATGGTCTCGACACAAGACGCCGAATTTGATCACCGACCTCCAAACTATACAGATCTCGAGTTTCAGAAACGTCATACAAAAAATAAACCTTTTCAAAAATACACCTAGGGGGGGTGTTCGAGGACCCCCGGCTCCGGCAGTACGTTTTAGAAGGGCCTAAACCGAAACGTTTGGGAACATAAAAATATAATATTATCTTATGTGAACGTCATCTACAACCTATAAATGATTTATTTGACTTTAAAACTATTACATATTCATACGTTAGTTCGCATTTGGTAATTACGCCAGCAACATACAACTTTCTATGCCAGTAGTTTTCCTAGAAGTAGGTAGTTACCTATTCATATAATCACATCGATAGTAAATCTAATTAAGAGTGTTAACCATGAACAATTGTTTATATAATTGACGAACTTTAAATTTCAATCATCAAAGTTTATGATGTGTACCTATACGTCTCGAAAATGATTATAACTAAATGTATTTTGTTATAATATTATAATATGACATGTCTTTAAATCTACTGACGCTGGACAATAGGTATAAACGTATAGTTAATTAGTAAATGACAGATGTATATTATAATATTAGGTATGTACTATCTAGTATCTATTCAGAACTTTTGTGGTCGTCTGTTTGTGGATGAGATTAATCCCACATAGGAGAACGATAAATGGTCAAACCTTATGTTTATCGATAGAGAATTTTATGGAGATTCCATTTGAATAGTCGGTGTAACGAATTTTCCAGTAGTTAAATAGATAGCTCCAAAAAACCATCAAAAAATCAAAAAAATCATACAAAAATCGCTTTATCAATAATCATAGATTATAAATTATGATAACGAATCATTAATCACTATAACTGCGGTTCAGGTTTTAGATGTTTGAACGTTTTAGTGGGTAGATTTAATCTTGTTCTATGATTCAATCTAGCCGGGGCCCGGGGTGGAGCCCTGGGGTCTTCTCAAGTACCACTGTGAAAAGGGGCCAAACAATTTTAAGCTGATACATTTAAAAAAACACTATATTTAGAGGTAATACCTAGAGGTATTTCCTTGTATAGTTGTATATTTACTTTTTTAAAAATATATTTCATAATATTCCTGTAGCAAATTGTTCTGCGAAGAGAGCTTTATCTAAATTAATTAGAATAAAAAATAAGTTTAGAAACAGTCAGACATAAGAAAATTTAGACATACAAATGATTTTATATTCTGAGAGTTATGTGTTAAAATAATTAGACTTAAATTAAGTACTAAGAGAGTTGGCTTCAAGTAAAGCAAAAAAAATAAATGTACTTGATAAAATAGTTTTTGTTTTTTATATTAACTTTTTGTTGATATTTTATTTTATTTGTATTTTAATTAACTCACGCTCAATCAGGATATTTATTGTAAATAAGTATACTGTTAATGAAATTAAAACTTATTATGAACATTTGAATTCAAATTAATGAAATACTAAGTTTTTATTAAGTATTTTATAAATATAGGTACCTAGTAGTTTTATAGACATAAATTAAATATATATTAATTATATAATGCAATTGTACATTTGTGAAATAGAAATATTTATCTATGAAATTAGGTTTTGCTAAGCATGTTTTGTGAAAAGGGCCCATATGAATAATATAATATAAAGTATATTATACACTTTTTCTTGGTTAGATCTAGACTTGTGTTTGGGTCAGTCTTCTGTCTGGTCACTAAGTTATACCAATTACCAATCATATTAAAAATATAGAAAACGTTCAATATAAATTTCTTAAAATTATATGCTTCAAATTAAATTTGTCACCTCTAGACCTCTAAAGTTCAATATTAATAAAAATAACTTTTCTTTTTAAATCATATTTTAAAAACAATGTAATATGCAGTGTATACTAGTTAGTAGTTTATTAATTTTACAATTTTTTACTAATTATAACAAACGTATAAAATAACACAGTTGAATAATAACACATTTTATAAACACAATAATTCAATAACAATAAACTTAATAAATTACATTATTTAATAATAAAACATTTAACAATAACATACCCCCGACAATGTTAAGTAAAATATTTTTATAAGTGGACAAGCAGAAAATGTAATTTAAACTCAAATATTTACAGTGTTTAGTATTTACAACATACTCAGGGATAAGGTCCAATCTGTTCTTGAACATACCCATCATTTCGGTGACCAGTCCTCCTCAAAAACATTAATAGGTCACTGTCTCTGTTGAGTTGTTGTACCGACTCTCTTATGATCCGCGTAGCGTTTTCTCTTAGAGATCTGGAAGTACCGTCTCTAATGTAAAAAAATAAATATAATTGACATAATTCAACCACAATCAATACAACAAATCATGTTTATTCAAAAAAATATAATTATTACCGTGAGGTTATTTGTGCGCTGTTGAAATTCTACATAGAACTGATTTTCAACAATAATCAGTCTTTCTGTTTAGAAAAAAAAAAATATATTTATATTAATTATTGATAATATAATATTGTTGACAGTAAAAATAATTGTAAACAATATTTTGTTTTCATGCTACATATACTAATAAAAGTGATACATTTATAAAGCACAATTAATGTTCACCACACAACTAATATTTATAATGCTACATTTACACACAAGCAAGTATTTTAAGTAATAATTATTTAAATTTCTCAAAATTAAAATTATTTGTATCAATGATTCAAAACTAAGGGAATTAAATAGATTTTACAACACCAGGTTAAGCTTGTCAAGACAACAATAAACAATTAGAGCAAATAGCAAACAAACTATATACTATGTTAAAAATTAAAAACAAATATTGATAGAACTTACTAATTTTATTCTTAAGAATTGTTCTTACACTGTTGATTATGTTAAACATGTACCTAACAACACAAACATAAAACACATAACACATATAACATATAACACAAACATGTATAGGATAATGCAACATAGAGATCACAGTATGGTCAAGTGCAACTATGACGACTCACGAAGAAAATCCCAAATATTAGGGTGGCGTCCAATTTGTGTGAGCAACGTTGAATGGAAAGATTCCAAGTAATTGTTGGTCCGGTGATCTTGACCAAAAACACTTAGGCGCCGTGGACCAATTTGCACAAACCAATAATCAAATACATAGTCCCTCAGAAAACGACTCATAACCTCACTGATGTCAGGAAACTGTAAGGTGTACGCGACAATTGTATGAAACCCATCTTCCATACAAAAATTAGGGCACCCGGGATTACCCCTTTCAGCCGGTAGGTGAGGCAATGCTAATACCTGAAATATAAAATACAATTGAAATACAACAATGTTTACTTGTAAATAAAACTCAAAATTACCATTCTGAAAATATGAGCTGCCACTTCATGCCTCTTCACCAAATTTAAGACACCATTAACTTTTCGGTGACAATATCGAACAACTGACTGTGACATTCATATAAATTTTAAATAAATATTATTAGGTTTACCCGGCAGGTATGATCATAACAAAATGTTTTATATTAGGTACCTGTGAAAAATGGAACCAGCAGCAGAGCAATTCACTGTTTGGAAATATTCGCTGGACAGCATTCATAAGAGCACGCTCATAATCAGTTACAAAACGGATTCTGTCATAATTCAGTGGTAGAATATTGCGTATGACAGTGAATAATGCAGAGTATGTTTCTTCCGTCTCACTCCCCAAAAGGACATAGACCATTGGGAATGCCTAAATTGTAAATAACAGTATATTAGACAATTATGACAACAGTAATAAGTAATAACGAATATCAACATAATAAATTGCTTACTACACTTTTGTAGAGTACTTGAAATGTCAGAAAACATCGCAAGTCCCCTGGCACTTGAGGAACTGTCTTATATGTACCATCTATTCCAACCATCTCTACTGTAGCCAACTCTTGACGGTATTTTTCAATTGCAGAAATGTTTGCAAAAATTACACCTACACTTACTCCATTTACAATCAATTCTTGATTGAAAAATGCTGAGGAAGGAATTTGGAATGTAGAAGCGTAATTTGAATTTCGGGGGTCGCTCAGCATTTCTGAGAGTTCATGGATGTTCTGAGGCAACTGTGGGCGCCTTGATTGTCTCATTCTTTTTGCTCTGGATTGTGCCTGGAGGAATGTATAGCTTATGGCAGCTTGAGGATGTCTAAAACAGTATAACAAATTAATACATATTTAGCATAATTTATGTATTTCATCACAACAATTAAGTTAACTAACTTACTTAATTATTTCACTGTTATAAAGACCGCGAACTGATGGGGTTGTAACTGTGCGGTCAACAGCTCTTTCACCAAGTGCATTCCTCAAGAATGGAACATCCAAGTTAATTGCTTCTGGATCATGATTGTGATCAGTTACAATACGAAGCCGGTTGTCTCTCTCATTAATACTGATTGATGCTGAACCATGGCACATAAAATCACCTCTGGGATTTTTTCGTAGCTCACAAATTAGATTTATCGTATTGACCAGTAACTTCTTACGATAATATTTGAATCCCAAATTGTCCACATAAAATTTTGAGTTGAGTCTAATGCCGGGGATTATTCTATATGTTCTTGGTTCAGCATGCATAACAAGTTCTACTGCTCCATCTTCTTGTTCTACTGCTCCATCTTCTTGTTCTACTGCTCCATCTTCTTCTTGTTCTACTGCTTCATCTTCTTCTTCTTCTTCATCAGGTGCTGGTCCATCTTCTAATGCTTCTCTATCTTCTTCTGGCTGGGCCTGAATCTGAACTGCAGGCAACTGTTGGGCGTAGGTATGATTTTGCAGGTAGATGTTTTTAGCACCAACTTCTTCTTCTTCTTCATGATTGGCTGGGATGACGTAATTGTGATCCCTCAGCGCCATTATGGAGGTGTACCTATGCTGAAAAAAACTTAAAAAAACTTAAAAAATATTAAACAAAGTAACAAAAAGAAATATAAATGAATAGTATAAATATAAATGGTTGGCCTTAAAAAAAACCGTTTTTCTTTTTTTTCTTGTACTCGCAGGTAAATCGCAGGTGTAACTATTGCAGGCAAATTGCAGATAGACAGATCTATATAAAATATTGAAAATTATATCAGGATCTATAGTATCACATATATCATAAAATAACTAATCAATATAATTAGGTTTTTGGTTACATTTACATATTACATTCGTTATATTAACGATTTATAACATAATTATTCACTTTACATAAACTGAAGTCGATTCAGTTAAAAACATACATCATTAAGGTTGGCAATCAAAATAAATTCAATTACTAAAATTATTTTTGGTGTTTTCCATAGTTATTTGATACAACATCAAAACACAGGCAATATCAATATCATTGATTCTTCCAAACAGGCCAAAAAAATAATTCCTATCATAACTGTAGTTAAATTTTTATACTATTAAAAATTTATTTGAAAAATATATTGAATTGAGGAGTTCACACATAGTAAAGTTAAAAATAGTGAACGAAAACTCAACTTTACCAAACATGACTGTATAGGTTGTTAACATATACAAACACTTTTATCCAAATAATTGTCTTGTACAATACTATTTATAACTTAAATCAATGAAAGTCTATTCAAAATATGTAAACATATTATTTAAAAAAAAGTAAAAAGTGGTTTTAAGACATAATATTATGAGTGGCTTTGAATACTGTTTTAATAGATTAGTAAGACATTATTAAGAATTGATCAATTATTTACCATTCATAACTGAGAACATATCATAAAATAAACTTAAAATAAAGGCCTAAAAAAATCACTAATGATCAGAAAATAGTGACTATTTCACACTATAGTCTTTCTATAACAATCCCATTTTTTCCACTATGAGTAGGATTGAACAACATATCAAAATATGTATAACCGTGTAATACTAAAGTTATGGTTAGGTATTGCAGGAGTGTCATCAAAACAGCCATCACCAACCAATGACTATCACAACAAGGTCCATGGTTTTTGAAATACATTTGGAAGATTTTTGAGAGCAGCATTCAGTATTTTCAAATCTGCAATTATGAACAATTTTAAAATGTTATACCTTGTTACAATCAATCTGGATAATTCTGTTGAAGGTAGTGAACTAAGTGTCAATATGACTTTATAATACCACTGACATCATTATTAATTTACACTTAATATTTAATAAAGACCTAGTTATATTAATATTTAATGCTTTGTAATCATCATAGTGGCTTGTTTATGAAAGCACCCTCCTTCCAGAGAATGTTTAAAGATCCCAACAATAATATAATAATTTAAGTGGGTTTATTTTGTAAATCAAAATGAAAAAAACTTATTTTAACATTCAATTGATGTATTTGTTCAATTTCATTAATTTGTTTTTGTATAAAACTATGAACTTCTAATAAAACAAGTGAGATATAATATGCGAGAATATAAGCATTTTGAACTGATTTATAAAATTATTTCACTTTTACAACACCCACCATCCACAAAAAAGTAAGTTTTTAAATGTCACTGGTAATTATTTACCAAACCACAAAGTTAAACGATTACAATGTCACTGTCGATTGCTTTCTCACTACAGTAATATAAAACCTAAATTAGTATATAGTTACTTTCAGTATTAAATCATTTAATAGAAAACTTAAAATACAAGTACACGTTTTGTATCATATTATTACAATAGTTTGTTGATTCTTGCTTATTCATGACACTTGTAACGAGCGCCATATTACAAATTAATAAAGGTTGAAATTTCTTTTAATAAAATGTTCAATATAATAATAATAAATATTTAATTTAACTGTAAATTTTACCATTTAAATAATAACTTTAAATATCTAATTGTTTTTTTTAACAAAATTTAGTCAATTAGATATAATATTATTTTATTTTATTTTTATTAAGATACAGGCCATGGCCCCAAAACCAATGAGAATAATATAATAGGTATTACAATAAATTAAATGATAAATAGTATTAAATATAATAAAATTAACAATTAATCAATAATAATTGAAAGTAATAATATTTACAATAATATTGGCTATACCCTGTTGAACAGTAATTTTAAGGATAATTGAAGCTGGGGTCTTCATTAGCAATCCGCATAAGACGGTTAGGTTAGGACTCTCTCTACCATTAAAGCATCTACAGATAATTAAGGGTCCAAAATAACAGATCCATATTCTAAAATAGGTCGGACTAGGGAGCAAAAGAGAAACTTCAATGACCGGTGGTATATAAGTAACTCAATGATAGAATACCTGAATTTAATAGGTACAATAATACATTATTAATATAATTATACTTCTATGAAAAAGTGTCTATTCAAATAAATTGTGATTAGTTATTAATTAATTATATCTAGTATGTAAAATATATATAATTGTTACATATTTATAAAGAATTTTGGGTCCTTTAATTGTTAAAGCCCTAGGGCATTTAAAAAAAACAACAAATTAGTTGTTTGCAAGTGTGTGATTATTAATGAATAATTTATTATTTTATTAACAGTTAAAATCACTAAACGACAATAATTAATAGGACTTTGTTAACAATTTTATTCTTACAATTTGGTTTTTAAATCACTAATTGTATACTTCTAGGTTTGTGAACGTTGTCCAACACATTTATTCTTTAAATTTTTTCAAAGCATTTAACAAATTACTGATTTAAAATAAAACTTTTTCCGTTAAATAGCTATTACAAAAATGTTATTGTTATAAAATCATTTATTCATGTTTTTTATCCAACGGTTTTATTAAAAAAGTGGCTTTTCCTAACTTAAACAAGTTAGTTCAAATTGTTAGAGATAGTTACAATTTAAATAAGTACTGCAACATGTGCATGTAGTTTTTAAAGTATGCAATACATTAAAAAATTGGTTGAATGTTTGTTTTAGATATTGAGAAGGATGTTGAAAATAACATAAAAACAGAATCAGTGTTAGCTAAGTACAGCACAAAAAAAAGAAAAGCTAATATAAAATGTAAGTATGTTAATTGTAACTTCTAAAGTACCTATAATTATAATATAATACGTTACAAGTTAAAATTAACATACCTACCCATATTTTATATAAGCTTTTCTTTTATAACAATATATGATTACCTAGTTAATATACAAAATATGAATGAATAAAATTGTTGAAGTTGTGTTACAAAATTTGTAATTTATGTACGTCTATAGTTGCGCCAATGGGTAAAAACTCAAATGTAGTACTTACTAATTGAATAATTATTAATTAGGTGTGAACCTTCTATGAATAAATATGAACATTCAAATAGGTACATTACGAATAATTTATCGAAGAACTATTATTAAGGTAAAAATTAAAAAGTACAAGTTTTACTTACGGTAATAAATTAGAATGCTGAACCAAGCGGCAAGCACCAACGTACAACCAGCAGCGGCAAAGCAAACGTAAAATTAGCAACTGTTTACCGAATACCGTTAAATAACGGTCATTCAAAAAATTCGACAGACGGATAAATGACAGATACATAATGTATCTCCGTCTTGGACAAGGGTGGGAAATTCATAAACTCAAAAATCGTACTGGAACTATTTACAATGCCTGATGGTTGGTATTAATTTGCAATTTTTTTATTTGAGGTTAGAGTTCGAACTCTTGATTAAGATTATCAGCTATAATTTCTTATCAAGGGACCTAACTCTTATCACGGGGACCCAACTGTCCCCATCCCGTCTGATATATAATTTTAAGACACACGAAGTACCAACGTAATATATGTCACGTACAGTTATAAATATTTGCATGACTGGTCACTCTGTTTTTACCGTTCTGGCCGTTATTTTGTTTACATCAACATAACCCCAAATCCCAATGTCATTATGCCAAACGCCATAAGCATAACCGTTTGTCCGTTTTACTATTTTACGAAACTGTGCCGAATAACGATTTTCCTTTGTTTTTATTTGCTAAAGTGTTAAATTAATAGTTTAGTTTTCGGTGAAGAATTGTTACTGTTTCACCATGCCATCAAATAGTTGTGTTGTGATTGGTTGTGACACCAAATACTCTGACAAAAATGTTCTTCGTCATCGGTTTCCAAAAGAAAAAACCACATTTAACGCTTAGGTGAAGAGATCAGGAAACAACAAATTATTAAATAAACCAATTGACATGGTTTATAAATCTTTTGTTATGTGTGAAAACATTTCGAAGAAACATGTAAAAGTCCTGGATTCAAAAAGTTGATTACCAATTCATTGCCAACTCTGAATTTACCTGGTAAATATATTATTTTAATTTTATATAATATTATGTTGTTTTAATATTATTTGTAATATTTTTTTTTTTTTATATGTTCTATAGTGGTATGTTTTAGGTCAGCCTAAATGTCCTTAGTTATACACTTATAACTAAACTAAAGATATCTACGTATTGGGTGTATACAGCCAATACTTGACATCAGTTTTAACCAAATTGTTGAAATCAAGTATTGGTTGTATCAGAAAGTTAAATTACATTCCTATGGTTTGACAATTTATCAAATCTAAGAACAATTATCCAACCATAAAACAATTTAACTCTTTTTGTACCTACGCAGGTGCATTTTTTGTCATGTATAAACACAGTCAATTGTATTATGGTACAATTATGTGTAAATATTATTAACACTAGATGATTTGTTTTTCATTTTTCTTTACCTTTATTTTAAAATGTTTTGGAATATTGCATGCTATTATTAGTTTGTTTACATGTTATATAATGGCATTTATAATGAGTACTGCTTGTGTATTACCTTTAGTAACTAGTGCATGAGCATGAGTTAATTATTTAAAATATAAATGTTGTGCATGATATTATTTAACTATTAAAGTTTGTTGTTGATGTTGTAAAAATGCATGCTATTTTTTTTATAT